GATTGGTGGACAACTTCCAAAAACAATATGAAGCTATTCAAATTCCTTATCCTAAGGATAATCTTGGTGGTCAAATAGAATCACAGATTAAAGAAACTAAAACTGAAATAGAAGCTTTCAAGAAAGGCTCTGAAACACGTATTGTTGATTATCAAAAAAAGATTAGTCACCTCAGCTCACTACTGCCATATGGCCAAATGACTATGGAAGATTATCGTGATGCATTCCCCGAATCAGCCTTAGATCCCATTAATCGTCCTACTTTCTGGCCACACAACCCAGAAGAACAATTGGATTATCAATCTAAGGAACAAGAAGGTGCAGGTCATTAAATTCGATGCAGTGTGACTTTAGAAAACATGCATAACGATGCAATATAAAATCTGATTACAAATGTGTTTACAACTTAATTGAAATTATTAAAAACTATTTCAAATTGATTTGCGTTATCTTTTTCGTTTAATATAATTAATGTAATGTCTATACTTTATATTTTAAGATAATATTTAACTTGTAAATTTACAGTGCTATTTGAATGATTAAATTTAATATTTGTAGTTCCTTAGAACACATAGGTCAATTAAATTAAAAATGCGGATATGGCAGCGCAAGAGCATAAAGAAGCATAAAGAACATTTCAAACGAAGTAATATATCTATTACGATAAGAAATTGGAGAATCACTTAAAGATTATTAAATAAAATTATAGTGGAATATGCAGTTTTCTGTTAAGATCGTCAGTCATTTGCGTCATGTCATGAATTCTACATAAACTGCATAAATCCTGATTTATAAAATCGTAGTTATGATTATGTATTCTTAATTAGTACTTCGTCCTATTATATTATTAATTATCTTGTATATGGATTTGGTACAGTGTTAATTTGACGTCTTTTCTGGATAACTTTTTCGACTGGGTATTACAATTAACAAATCTCAAATCTTATGGAACCATATGATAAATAAACTGTAAACTCTCTTAAAGATTTCATTATAATATTTATATATATATACATATATATATATATATATATATACATAAGAAAGAACAAATCATGCAACAAATAATGCCTCTACGAACAGATTAGTATTGAAATTTAACAATTAAAAATAAAAATATAATTATTTAATTAATTGAATTATTCTTCAGCTGGTTTATGATTTCGTTCTAATATAAATACAGCAAGTAAAATTTTTAATAAAAACTTTCATAGTAAAAGTAATAAAACTCCAGAAAAATATGCGAACAAAAAAGTCAAGTACGGCTTTGGATCAGTTGGTTAAGGTGCGCTGATTTTGAGCTTCACATTTGGTAGGACCCGAGTTCGATTCCTGGTACTTGCAGTCTCAAAAATAATTATTTACGAATAATTAAATACAAGAATTATTTCCAAGACCACTGATGATGGGTATTTGGCAATACTCGAAACAGCTGTATGGTTAGCCAAAAATTCAATTAATTAAAATAATTTAAAAAATAAATTTTTGTTGTTGTTTCACTTCTGTTCAAAAACCTCTTTATTATAATATTTATGAACTTTATTTCATTTCAATTTTTGCATATCAACAATCCTAGCCGAGTGACAATAACTTTATATAATATTTGTGATGCATATAAATGTACGTATAAAATCCTTTGATGAATATCTTTACTAACAGAACAAAATCGTTCTGTAGCAGTATCATTACCGTATTATGTTTGCAAAAACTATGGCTGAAATTGTGACAAAAAGAAATAAAAAAATTGTTTTGAAGAAACATGATAAGATTATCAGGAGATACTTTATTATCCCCATGTATTTGTAAAGGAATATAATTGTACATATCAACATTGAATCCAAACATTTCTATGTAATTCTCTGCACATAACCTTCCCGATAATAATTAATACCCACAACCCATTTAATCAGCTTGTAATATATTTAGTCTTATTTTTTGCTCTATGGATTAAAAAATTTATAAAATATTCTTTCACTTAACAATGAGATAGGATAAATTACTTATTAAATGTGGAATAATGGTGATAACTCATACATCCATGTTGATTCCAATGATCATGTCATCCATTTCTGTGTTCCTTTAAAAGCATATTTGAGCTTAAAATGGCAATGCTGCCAAGTCTTATGCGGTTTTCAACTGTCAAAATCAGCTGTCATCTTTTCCTTGTCGCTGCAATTTGTTTCTTTGGCTTTGTTCTGTTACGTTTTTGTTCAATCTGTAGATATTAACAAATGTGTGTGAAGTGAATATAGAAGTTATTTTCGTAATACCAAAAACGTCTGGTACTGCAATAGGTAATTCTCGACAATTTCATTTCTTATTTATTATTTTTATTTCTGTTCGCATCATATTAACACCAACAAGAAGTTGATTAAGTAAATGTTGCATGAACTACTTAACAATTTTTTTGTGCAATCGAAAACCCACAATGCTCTCAAGACGGGGCAAAGACAAGGTTAATAACAATAAAGAGGGCGTTGTAGGTAAATATGTAAAGAAGGAAACTCCATTACCATCATTAATTAATGTTTGGTCATTTGATGACCAACGTGCGCATACTAAAAAATCTTTACAAAGATGCGCTAGCACTTCGCCTAGTTGTGAGTTTTCAAATAGTCGTAATACATACACTTGCGGTGATAACCAATATAATGCGCAGCCCGATTATTATCACTCACGACGAGCGCAGTCACAATTGCCCCCATCGAGTCATCATTACCCTGCAACCACCCAACGTCAACCACATCGAGGGCCGCTAACAACCCAACATGCTCATTTCTACTCAACTAGAAATTTGGACATAAATAGCAGCGGCAAAAGTAACAGCAGCAATAGTAGCAACAACAGCAATTATGTTAATATTGAACAAATTGAACGGATGCGTCAGCAATCTTCGCCGCTATTACTGCCTCCAAGTGGTTTTGACCGATTTCAACGCAGTTATTCAACAAATAACAAACATACGCAATCAAATGAAGTCTGTCCAATATATGAAAATTCGTACCGTGTTTCATCTACACCTGGAATCAATACTGCTTCTCTTGCCACTGATAGTCGTTCTTCACTTTCAGTTGCTGGCAATCGATCAGAATCTCCCATTTACAGTAATACAACATCATTGACTACTATTAACAATAGTGGAAGTAGTAATATGCATTCAACTTATGAACTTGCACATAACAATAATCGGCTAATGCCACCTCCGCACACCACACCACACAGTGGAAACTCGGTGCAATCATTATATCATGCTTCATCAACGCAATTGCGACCACAGGTGCATGTGACACCAGCTGGTAGTGAAGTATTGCACAAAGTGCCTTCACAACAATCACTTGAAGAGGAATTGCCATTACCACCTGGATGGGCCACACAATATACCCTACACGGCCGAAAATACTATATAGATCACATCAATTACACTACTCATTGGTCACATCCACTTGAACGAGAAGGTTTACCAGTCGGTTGGAGACGTTTGGTTTCGAAAGTACATGGTACTTATTATGAAAATCAGGTAAATAAACTAAGAAAAGAATAGTAGCTAAAGTATTCATTATATATCACACTATACTAGTTCTTAAAAAACTTTAAAAGGTTTATATAATGGTCTCGAAGTTTATATATTGTATATATCTATGAATATTATATATGGTGTGCGATATTAATGTATCCTTTCCTTACATCTAGTATACTGGCCAATGTCAACGACAGCATCCTTGTCTTACCTCATATTACGTTTATACGGCTCCGGTAGAACAAACGCAAGCTATAAGACCAGAACCGGTTCCTTACTCACCACCTGCACATACGCATAACGCATTAGTACCAGCAAATCCATATTTATTAGAAGAAATACCAAAGTGGTTGGTTGTTTACTCTGAAGCAGACTCTTCAAAGGATCACATGTTACAATTTAACATGTTTAGTTTGCAAGAATTGGAATGTTTCGATGGTATGTTGGTTCGACTTTTTAAACAGGAGTTGGGCACAATTGTGGGATTCTATGAACGTTACCGGTAGGACGGACTTATATAATAATAATTAACTTTGCATAGTTTTAATTGCTTTTTTTTCAGACGTGCACTTATACTTGAAAGAAACCGTCGTGCTGAACAAGAACTTTATTTACAAGAATTACATACTAATAATAATCATCAATAATATGAAGATGCATTAATAGAAATCATCTTAAATGCAATATATACTCGCCTCATATATATTTTATTAATTTTAAGTTTTTATGTATTAATTATAATCAATATTGTTTAGTTTATTATATTAAACAATTTAATTTAGTAAAGCCATGTGCCTGGTGCAGCAAATTTACTCAAACTCTTTAGATTTTAGTTTGTTTCACTATTTATGATATATACATAAGTTATTTTTACACTTTCCTACCTAAGTTACATTTGATGTTTTTGTTCTTAATAGCCTTTATATGTTGAAGACACAATAAACTTAATATAATTGTTAAATATTTATTTATTTATTTTATTATATTTTTATTTATTCATTTTAAACTAAACGTGAAAATTAATTGAATGGCACTTTCAGTGACTTAAGTTTAATTTAGATTACTGACCCACTTAATTATTTCCAAACAGCATGTATATGAAACGGAATACAAATATTGAAACGAGCCCCTGTATGCACTGTATTCAAGCACAAAGAAAGTCCAATGACTACGGCAATTAAACATAATTACAAGTATATTAAGAAATACCTTTCGATAAGTAACGTGGAGTACTACTTGTGATGCCAATGGAACGCTGACTGAAGTATGCCAGCTCAGCCAGTACTTGACCTGTTATAAACTTTCGGTACGTATAAAGTATTTTTATTGAATTTATGTCACTGGTTCTTGTTTGAGTTTTCATAACAACTTTTTTCTTTAACACAATAAGCAATCGCAGTAATAATTAATTTAAAAAAAAAATTATTTGAAATGGTCTTGCCATAAAACTAGTGTCCAGCATTTTGTTAAACACAAGTTTTAAATTTCACAGAAATTCTAAATTCTAAAAAATCTGGATGACATTTATGTGTTCATTGTGAGTCTTAGTTTCTTGTTAAGAAATCCGGGTATTAGCAAGTCAGCAGTGGATCAATCAGACATTTTCGCGGCTATCTTGCTATTCTTCAATATATTTTTCCCACTCTGCAGATGTCAGATAACTATCGAGCAAGATATGAGCTTATAAATTTAACACTAGTTCACCATAGCTAACGCTTTTTACTTCATCACTTTATATTCAATATTATCTATTCTACTTCAATATCTAAGGTTAAGTTGGAGTTTCTGCCTTGTACATTACAGCCATGTACATTATCTGGATTACACGCCAGACCATGAACCATGCAAAATAAGTATAGAGGCTAAAGCGATCTGCATATAAACAAGGATAAAAAGAACAGGCACGAATCCCATATTTAAGTTAAAATAAACCACAAGACAAGTCAATAGTTTGGAGCCGTCGGTAAAAATGTCAAGACTGAAGGAAAGATTATTCTATCCTAACGATAAATGCTAGTCCATTGTTTGCAACAGAGATTATCTAGTGCACTATGTCGGATCTGGACAAGCTTGTTATTTTACCAGAATCTTAGACGGTCAATAGAAGTAGAGCGAAAAGGGTTTTCGTAAGGGTGAAACATAGCATATTTTGTATTGTGATAGCTCTTTGAACCTATTTTTATTTAAATAGTTCGTTTATCGGAAGGCAATAAATGTAGGTACTCGTACATGTTTATAGTTTTTTCCATAATTCGTATTTTGTTTTGTCTGATTAAGGCTATAAACAAAAACCACACGATTAGTCAAAAATGTAGACTGACGAAATATTTCTGTACTAAATTCTTCAATAAATTTTGTCGTCATATTTGATAATCGTTTATTTCTACACGAGAAGATAAGATGAACAAAATAAGTATTCAATGCACTTAAGGTATCGATCTGAACAAGAAAATTTATTTCGATTATTCAATAGTCATAAGAGTTTGAACAAATTAGTGTTAACTGTTTAATCATCTTTGGGATATATGATATATTAAATTCTAAATCTTTTTCCGCATTGATCATATACATTTCATATATACACATATATATATTATAAAGAACAGTCAGAGCGGTTTTCAAAGAGCTTTTAAAACGTTGTTTTGATTTAGAATTCGTCAGCAGTTATCCCCCTTGAGTCCGTGAGTTGGTTACGCATTATCTGCATTTGTATTCTCTATTTTTTCTGGAAGTGGGACATCTTGTTTCTCAATTCAAAGAAAATTGCAATGCTCAGCTTACTAAAGCTTGTTATAATTGATACATCTGGTACATATGAATGGTTCCAATTATTCCTTTAATAATATTATTTACAATACAATATATAAATAATTAAATATAATTTCAGTCATTTTATCTTATGCGTTGTTATTTTTGATGAAATGCTTAGTATTTATTGTGGGTGTGTAATAGCTTCCCTAAAAAAATTTTGGGCAGACTACTTTATTCGCTTTCTTTACAAACAGTAGAACTCCAAGAACAACTGTACTCGAGAATTGGTTAGGGATGACTAATAGCTTTTGTCTTTTTAATAAGAAAGTTTTATTAGTGTTATTTTATTAGAATTTAATTTATAGGAAATAAAAGGGTACTAGCTTTCAGAGAGCGTAACACTGCTATCGTGATCATACCCAGTTCATAGCCAGACAGTTTCAAAGAATATAAGGTCTCATTCACATCCAAACAGATACGACATTCTAGCTCTGCAGACAGACAGATCCTTCTAGTTAATATAATAACGCAGATTATTTTGACTTGTCAGATGCCATTCCAGTAACCAGCGGTTATTGACAGGTTATATTAGTCTGGCGTTATTTGCAATGCAGCGCTGGTAGTGACTTCCTTCGGCAACATGTTAATTTAAAGTGTAGAAAGTATATTTTCTTTTTTTTGGAAAAGTACCAGGCTAGCGTCGATGGGAGTAAGAGCAATGATTTTCAAATAGTAGTGTTTGCTTTAAACATATTCTTTGAAACCACTTTAATTTATTAATAATACAATCATTTAACAAATTTAAACTCTGACAAACTAAAAATTCTGAAGCAACATAGATAAATTTGAATTCAGTATTCAAACTGTTGTGGTATAGTTAGAAACGGATTTTCAACTACTTTTATAATATTACCTCTTGCTTTCAGGTCTGATCTTTAAAGTAGTTGCAGTCAAAAATTTCAAGGTTTTCTTCCATGTTTAAATGTCAGTAGCTGTTATATTTAATATTATTGAACTATAGTGTGAGTCGTCAGCTAATGTATCCAGTGTTGTCCTCCCACTGAATCATCTTTAAAATGTAATTAATTCTAAGATTTTCTTATATGTTTACATGTCGGTAGCTGTTGTATTTAATATAATTGAACTAAAGTGATAATCATCAGCTACTGTAGCCAACGACTTTTGTCTTCCTGCTAAAGCACGATTTAAATGTCGATTCACTTAGTTCTCTAATAACTCATGAAGAACATATATGCTCTGCTCTCATCTTCTGTACGCAGTTCTACATTAAATGTATATACCATATGTATCTTGAAAACTACAATTGAATAAAGTGGAGTGTCAAAATTTTTATTTTACGGGTGATACGACAATTTATTAGTTTATTTATAGATAAGAATTGTTCTGCCGCCTTTTTGGCCCGGTACGTAGTACGTAGTGAGTCGATTTTACTGAGGCTTGTTTTTGGTAGAAGTCTTCATTCGATTTATTTCGTTCCGTTCCGTTATTACAATTCATTATTAAAACTCGGCTACCGGCAGTGAGTGGTTTTTGCCTGTATCTTACAATTGTGCATCGTAAACAATCAGTCGTGTTGTGCGTGCCAAGGCGGTTGTTTCGGTGTCGGACGTAAAAGCTCTCTAAGTGTAGTCCCCAATGAGATAGTTTTGAAAACAATATTAGTTGTTGATATTTAAAAATTATTTAATTTTTTTTTAATTAAACATTTTTTAATAATTTAAAATATTTAAAATATTAACAATTGTGAAGCGTGTGCTGCCAGAACCAAATCAAAGAATTTCTTGCAGAATTGACAAATTCGGTATCGAATGATAAGCTAAATAAGCTGAGATAAGCTAAATTAAAAAATTCTAAACTTCATTTTTCAATTTATTTAGTTGTTTAATTTTTCTTCATTGGTTTAGTGACGAAATAAAAAAATTATTTTTTTATTGTTGAATATATCGTATAAATCAAATTAAATAAAATTCCCAGTAATTATTAAAGACTTGTTAAAGGTAAGAGATGGACCAGTGAAATATGATTTATTTTATATATATATTATAGGCAAATGTGTTTTCACTTTATTTTTAAACCTGTTAACAAATGATTTTTTATCAATTAAACAAAAATAAAATATTTTATCTCGAGCTGCTGACTTCGAGCACTTAGAACAGTTCTTGAATAATCTGTCAATAGCCTTGAATCATAAATAAAACTTGGAAATAAATGTGAACCCCAGCTCTAATATGAGTCTTGAATGAATTAGAAGATATTTTTCAAAATGAATTTATAATTATATTTGTTTAAAGTGTTTACAACGAATTTCTTCAAATCTGTTCATAATTTTTTATTACTTAAATTGATTATTTAACGATTTAATTTTAATTAATATTTTGTTATTAAAAATTTAAGCAACCTATAGATTCATTCAGGTGCATTTATTATTGTTTCAAATTATTTGTTTATTTGTTATTCTAAACAATAAAACACGAGTTAATCAGAATTTGTTGTTATTTAAATTAAAAATATTAGTTAAAAAAATATTTTGATTTCTCTACCGACAAGTTAACCTTTCGTTCATTAAAAAAATTAAACACAAGGAATTTTTTTTATATACATATATACTTTAATTATGCAATTTTTTTAAAATAATAACTTTGTCAGCTAATTATGTGCATATATTTTATCTGATAGCAGTGAAAAATGTTATGGTTTCAAATTGTTTTTAAAATAGGCGAGATCGACTAAACTGAACGCTATAGGTATATGATTATTCTAAAATTTATTGTAAAAGTTATACGTAGTCACACATAGATTTCTAGCGATATCAAATGCAGCAACACACTCATGTAAATTTATAGTAGGCATCATGCAGGATATATATGATTACTATTAGTAATTCCAATCTTGTATGTATGTGGTGGCGTTAGTAGACTGTGGTCAGTCAGCATACCT